TTACCAGAGACAGAGAATGGCAGGAGTGTAAGGATGGAGTGTACAAGCTTTGGAGCTAGCCTGCTTGGGTTCCCTTCCCAGCTCTACCACCTATTTGCTGTGTGACCTTGGAGAAGTTACTGAAATCTCTCTGTGCCTTAGTCACCTTAGCTATAGAATGAGGATAATGCTAGTAACTACTTCAAGGTTTGGGGCAGGCGAAAGGAGTTAATGCAAACTGATGGCTTGGAAGGGTGCCTGGCACATACTGAGTATTTAATAAATGTTAGTCATTAGCAAATAAAGGTGCAGCGGTCCTGCCACTCCCATTTTGAAAGTGACACAGGGCTATGGGGACAGAGGTGACAGCAAAAGGTGCAGAAACCTGAACACAATAGTAAGAAATTAGTAACGGTTAATGCCCTACTGGGGACCAGGCTATTCTATATACTCTGTAGTTTACTTACATGAATTTGTTGGTGTCTCACAGTAGTATCTATGAGATAGGCATTACTATTATTTCCATTTTACAGACAGTCAAATTGAGGCACAGGAAAAACTGGCGTGCCTGAAGTCCTAAGGCTTAAAACGCCGGCAAAATTGTCCCCACGTCCACCACCATAAATGCCAGGGAGTAGAGTTTAATTGTTCTCAGATCAGTTGCAAAAGCCAATTGCCCCAGCAGAGCCTGGACCCAAGAGAGCGAGCCTAGGAATACTGGTCACCAGGTGGTCCTGAGCCAGCTGCACGGCTGGGCCGAAAGAGCCCGGTGTTCATCCTCAGGGAGGGGAGAGTCCAACCCCAGACCGCAGTGGCCGGGCCTAGCCTTGTCCTGGGGGAGGGTCACTGGCAGGCTGGGGGAGTGCAGAGCGGGGAGGCAGCCAGGACGAGGGGGAGGAGGAGCAACTGACAGGGCTGCAGGTGACAGGGGCACCATGCCTGTGGCCCACAAGAGCAGCAGGTTTGGGGCAGGTGGCCTCCAGCTGTAAACTCTGAGCGCTGTCCAACAAAGATGGGGCAGGGAGACGTCAGAGCGTGGACGGCGGGGCGGGCAGAAGTGCCAGAAGGGGCCGAGGAGTCTGTCGTCTCGGAGAAGCTGGAGAAGGTAATCCCTGAGGTCCCCAGCCAGCGTGGGGGCGTGGGAAGATATAGGTCCGGGAGCTCCCACGCTCTCTCTCGCGGGTGAGTCTAGTGGGCAGGGGAGTAGTGGGGAGAGTGAACAAGAGACAGTAGTGGGCTAAGGGAGTAGATCTTAAGAGTTCTCATCGTGAGAAAAATGTAACCGTGTGGTGACGACATTGACTCGGCTTACTGTGGTGACAATATATACAAATATCAAGTCGTTACATCGTGTACCTGGAACTCATATAACCTTATATGTCAATTATATCTCAATTAAAAAAAAGAGAGCGCAACAGTGGGAATGGGGAACCCGGGTCTAGTTCCAGATAAGGCCCTGTGTTGAGCATACCCCAGCCCCTCCACCCTGCGTCACTGGGCTGCTTCCCATCCTTGCCGAAGCAGCCTAGTGACAAAGCAGAGCTGGGGGATGGTTGGGCTGGGGCCTCCGCTTCGGCTTGTTTTGAATCAGTGCAGCTGTGGCCGAGGAACGGGGCCTGCCGAGAGCGGGCAGGAGCATCCTGCGAGCCCGGCGTCCCCGCGTGAGTGCGTGAGCGTGTGCGTGCTCGCGTGGGCATGTGTGCATGTTTGTGTGTGCGCCTGTGCCTGAATCCAGATAGAGCTGATTGCCTCTGTGTATCTGAATGCCTTTGCAGAATCGGGGTGTGTGTCACTACACAGATCGAGGATCTGATAAACATAGGAGTCTCTGCGCTGCCGTCTGATTGCATCTGTACGTATCTTTATTGTGTTCTGCATGTGCTTCTGCGTTTCTGTGAAAGCGAGTGTGCGAGAGTGTGTGTGGAGTTGTCTGCCAGCCCTTGAAGGAATCTCCCCCTCTGCGTATTCCATGCATGGCTGTGTACTGATGCCTCAAGTGGGTGCCCTGGGGATAAATGTCTCTCTTTGTCTCTGTGGGGTTGACGTGTGTTTATGCTCTTCTCTGTGGACCTGTTTCTGTGTATTTGTGTGTGTGTGTGTGTGTGTGTGAGAGAGAGAGAGAGAGAGAGAGAGGGAGGGAGAGAGAGAGAGAGAGAGAGAGAGAGAGAGAGGGAGGAGATAATCAGAGATCAGCCAGCTCTCAAACACAGATTCATTCTCTGCCTGCTTGCTGCCCCCCACTTGCCCTTAGAGCAACCAGAGTCGTGGAAGCTGCTTGCTCTTCCGGACCAGCTCTCTGAGTTCTAATAAAGGTCAAAACAGGGACTTTAAAATCCTACTCTCCATGAGAGTTACCTGGAGAGCCAAAACCAGCATCGATGTCCGGGCCCCCACCCCAGAGAGACTGACTCAGTTGGGCAGGGGTGTTTTTAAATGCTCCTCACTCCTCGGTGGTCCTGATGGGTGGTCCGGGCTGAGTGTGGGCTAAGAGGTCAGAGCACGTCTTCAGACTGGGGTTGGGGCTCAGGGAGGGGGCAGCCAGTCTCCATTTGCGGGATCCCCGTCCTGAAGGAGGCAGGAGAGCTGTTGCCATCTCAGGATATTGCTGAGAGCAGGGAGCCCTGATTTCACGTCTGAGTGCTCTTGCCAGATGTCCTTCTCGAGGAACTTTGCTCTGTGCCCCAGGGCAGAGGTCTCCCCCAAGGAACAGAAACAGCCGCTCGCCCCTGTTTCTGGTGGCACCTTGCTGGGAGTACGAGGGAGGTGGCCCCTGAGGAAGGAACGCTGTGTCCGCTTGGTGACACGGGCTGTGCACCCATTTCCCTTCTATGGCTCTTGTCTGGGCCCTGCTGGCCAGGAGGGAGCTGAGATGAGGAGTCACCTTCCTCCTGGCTAAGACAGCTGAGATCCACAGAAGCCAAGGGTCTAGATGGTGGCTGGGTGTGGGGCCAGAGCCCAGGTGCAGGCTGTAGGCTGGGGCTGCTGACACCCACCCCCTCCAGATGGGCTGATGGAGGTGCCAGGGCCACCTGGCGTGGTCCTGGGTGGGGGCCCACCTGACTTCACATCTCACTGGCCTTTGGCTGGACATTGTCCTAGGTGTGGAAGAGTCAGCTGCAGATCGCAGACGTTTGCTGCCTTGTGGTGGCTTCTCTAAGCCCTTCCCTGGCCGAGAGAGACAGCCTGTGTGCTGAGCCAGTCGGGTCAGAGTGTCAGCTCCTGCCTCAGCACACAGGGCTTTAGGCTCCCCAGGGAGAGCAGAGGTGACCGAGCCCACTGGGGACCAGCACCGCCGGGTCATGCCAGAAGCAGCCCATGCCCAGTAGAGGTGTGTCGGGGGGGGGGCGCTGGGAGTGAATATAGAAACCCAGGCCTGAAAGTCCAGCATAGCTGGTGCCTCGAGGTGCCCAGGGATGCTGGGGCCGGTGCTCCCCCCAGCCTGCCCAGTCCTTCCTGACCTGCAAGGGAGGGCCTACACCAGCATCCTCAGGGCCCCCTGGGCTTCTCAGAGCATTTCTTGGGGACACCCGAGGCCTCCCTCAACATCTCTGAGTGGGCCCTGAGTGGGTAGAGCAACAGGTGGGTAAGACAGGGCTCCCTTTTGTTGAGCTATCCTGGGCTCGTTTTCTTTCTCCTTTTTGGGTACTTGCTGGTCACCAGAGTGAGCTTGGAGAAGCTAGGAGAGAGGGAGAGCACATGGGTTGGCAGCAAGCCAGGGGCACAAAGGGAACCAGGGTCATGGCAGCTCTGCCTGGTAACGGGCGTTATGCGGAGACTAATGACTGGGATGCAGCCCCTCATGGGTCTCTGAACCAGGCACCTACGGTGGGGGCCCTGACACCGGCCGACTGAGTCGTTTTAATAATAATTTAATAGGAATACAAAGAATAATTTTTAAATTACTGTGTAGTATTCCCTTGCATGGCTGCTGAGGCCTATTAACGGGGCCTGGTTGATGAATGCTGTGTTGCTTCATTTTCTGCTGTGGATGCTATTTTAGGTGATGCTGCAGTAACTATCGTTGCACATGCTTTTTTTTTTTTCGGGCGAGTGCAAATATTTCTCAGTAAAAACCCAGATGTGGAATTGCTGGGTTGAAGGGCATGCATGCTAATGATCAATTTTAGAAGCAGACCAAGCTCTCCCTCCTGGGAATGTGGCAGAGCTCCCACATTCTCCCCGCTGGACTCCCGGTCCCCTGTCCAGTCCCCACCAGCAGCCCCAGTCCTCGGGGACCTCCCCCCTTGGAGAATGCTCTTCAGCAGTCGCCCTCTGGCATGTCACGATGGTAGAGGCTTTCTCCTGGAGGCCGAGTGGGCCGAGGCAGGGGGAAAGGAGGTTACATCTATTAGCAGGTCGGCTCGGCAGCTGGAACGAAGCGATGCGCTCTGTGGTGAGCACATGAGTTGAAGTGCAGTTCTTTCTCACGTAGCAGTCTGGAGCTAGGGAGGCCTTCTGGGCTGGTGGGGTGCTCGCGGCGATCCGGTTCCTTTTGGTGCATGGCTCCCCATGCCCCAGGGGTTGGCTCCGGCGTTTGGGCAGGGCGAAAGAGCAGAAGCCAAGAGCAGGTACTGCCTCATGGACAAGGGGTCCAGAGGTGGCACCTGTCACTCCCACCCGTATTCCATAGGTGGGACCTTCGTCACAGGCCCACACCTGTGAGCAGGAAGGACTAAGGAATGTCTTCTTTAGGTTGGCACACACGTGCCAGCTAAAACTCTGTCACAGTGGAGGGAGAGATGGGGAGACAGTTGTCTGCTCCCAAGGGGAAAGCCATGCAGACCCTTCTGGTGGCCTGAGCCCATGTGCTCTGCACTGTATCCCCAGTGCCTAGCACTGCGTAGGCGCTCAGCAGATGTTTGTTTGGAAGAAGAACAAAGGCAGGGAGGGGCTTACCCTTGGAGGCTGAGAGCCTTGCTGCAGGTAAGGGGGTGTCAGGAGGAAAGGTTCTCCCTGCCAGGGGACCCACGGCACTCATGTCTTCCTTTCTCTGTAGCCCGTAGACACCGTGGGGCTGACCAGCGGCTGCTCTGAGTGGGAGGCCGGCAGTGCTGGCGTGAGTCTCCTTCCGGATTGAGAAGCGTCATGGCCAACATCTTGCAGGCCTCCCTGGCTGCTTTCCTCCTGCTGCCTATGGTAAGGGCCCAGGACCCTCCCCTCCATGACCCACTGGAGCCCCAGGCTCACCAGAGCCCACACCGCAGAGAACCTGTGTCTTTTTTTCTGTCCTCAGCCAAGCTCAGTTCTGCTAGCTGCTATTTCTGCCTGAACCCCTACTGGGTCATTCAGTGCCTTTGGGTGAATTACAAAGGGTGCCCCTTCCTCAAAACCCTGTACTGATTTGATTAGAAATTTTGACACAATTTACAAATCTATTATGATGGTGCATGTGTAGCAACCTTTAGAGTTGTGCAGTGTACAACCTGTTCAACTATATGCAGGGGCCCTAGTCACAGCTGCAGAAAGCTTTTTGACCCCAGGCCCTAGCCCGTAATTCTCTGCCAGGTTAGAGCTCAGAAGCCTGCTCTTTACTTCTGCCTTAAGGGAAGGGTAGGGGAAGAGTGCTCCTCGGCATTGACTTCTGCCCCTCAACTTGGGAATTTAGGCCAGCAGTCGATGCAGCTGTCGTCAGAGACCTGGATGCCAGTCCTGTCTCTGTTCTGCCTTGCTGTGTGACCACAGAGAACCTCGCCCCTCTCCCTGGAAGCCTGCACAGCTGTGAATAGTCAGAACTCGACCGGATCCCTCAGCACCGTCCGTGGCGGCTCAGATGCCTGAGCCTGCCTCCGCACTTGCAGACACCCCCTTGAGGAGCCATCCCTGCCCCAGAGTTTTACCTTAAAGTGACAGCATAAGAACACAGCTGTCATGGACTTTGAAGTTACTTGGTCCTATGCTTAAATCCAGTGCCTGCCACTAACTAGCTGTGTGACCTTGGGCAGGAACATTTATTTTTTCTGAGTCTTGGTTTCTGCTTTTGTAAAATGGGGGCAGGAGTGAATGAGAGCAGCTTGTGGGTCCCACTGAATGCAACCAGTGCTCCTTTGCCCACAAGCCCCTGGGGGTGCACCTCCTCCTGAGCCCCCAGAGGAGAGAGAAGCTGAGCCCCCTCAGCCTCGTATCTCTCCCACCCTCTGCTTGCTTCCCTGAAGTACAGTAATAGCCTCGTGGTCTCTGGAGCCAGACTGCCTAGGTTCGGATCCTGGCTGTACGGTCTACTAAGCTATGTGACTTTGAGAAAGTCGCTTAATGTCTCTGTGCTTAGGTTCACATCTGTCGAATGGAGAAGATGAAAATAGTACCTCCTTTGTAGTGCTCTTGAGCGATGTGTGTATAAGACAGAATAATGCACGCACACAGTACAGTGCTGTGTATGTGTTTGCTAATATTATCACAACACATGGAAACTGAGACCCAAGGAGGAGTGGAATCCACTGAAGGCCACATGCTGAACTGGTGAAGGAGAAGAGCCCTCATGGTATCTGTGGCCCCTGCTGGCCCCGAAATCTCTCTGGGACTGTGCTCTTCCTGCTTCCGCCCCCCATCCTCCGCACTGCCCTGGGGCTTAGGTAGCAGGGCTTGTAGGGGAGCCTCCTGCTCTCGCCTCCCATCCATCCTCTGTGTCCCTCGCAGGCCACCGCCATGCATTCTGACTGCATCTTCAAGAAGGAGCAAGTCATGTGCCTGGAGAAGATCCAGAGGGCGAATGACCTGATGGGCTTGAACGACTCCTCCCCAGGTGAGTAGGGTGGTGAGGAGGTCACGGTATCCCCAGCACAGCCAGGCCAGCCTTTAGAAACTGGTGTCCCAGCCTCTGGCCATTTTGTAGAGGGTGGTGGAAGGTACAGGTCCCTGGGTCCTTCTGAAAACCCTCCGGGGTGATGGAGTCCTGGATCTGCTCTGGGCAGTGACCCTGGCGTTGCCCTCCTCGGGGACAGCCTGCCCTGGATGCCTCATTCTGGAAGAGGCTATTCTGGGTGGCTGGATGTGGCTGCGTCTGATCCCATGGGGGCTGAGATCGGGCTGGTGTCTGGGCTGTGGAGCGGCCGTTAGAAAGCTTATTAGCAAGCAGCCTGAGCCTGGTGGCAGCAGGGACACAGCTGTTGCCAGTGGCCGAGCTGGAGAGCACCTGGTCAACCCAGGGCAGGCAGTGCGGGGTCATTTCCCTCTCTCTGTGCTCACTCCACCAGAAACCAGAGAACAAGCCTGCAGCACGAACCCCACTCCTAAGCCTGCTGGGTGCAAAATGTTTCTCTTGGGGCTGCTGTTAGCATTGGGGGGGGGGGGGGGGTACTGCTTCCTGGTGCTGGATGGGGCCATGCACTGCAGGACACTTAGCAATCATAGCTCTCCCCGTTAGATGCCCAGAACACCCCAATCCCAGTGACAACCCCAAGTCCTTTGCACCTTGTCCAAGTGTCCCTCATGGCGGGGCCCCTGGCTGAGAACCACAGGTCTGTGTAAGGCCGTTCCTGCTGACTGACTCCCCACTGTGCAGATGGGACGCTGAGGCCCACGGGGCAGAAGAGGGGGTGTGTGGGAGCTTGGGGATTTGGGGCTGGGGGCATCCCTGGAGGCCTTGCCAACCTCACCCGTTCCTAAGTTGCTAGAGGGTGGGGCTCTCTGCCCCGACTAGAGGGCTCTACTTTTCCCTCTGGATCCTCCCCATTTCTGAGGAGCTCTTCTGAGCACCATCTGTTTAAATACTTGATTAATCGGCAGCCCAGTTAAATGTAATGGTCCCTGCGGGCTGAGCTCCCTGTACAGTCAGTGAACATTAACTGGTAATGAAGCTGCTCCTGGCCATGCTGGCCTTTCCCTCCGGGCCGAGCTCTGGCTCAGCCCTAATCAAGGCCGAAAGTGGATTCTAGGCCCCACCACCCAGGGAAGCTAAGCAGGGGGCCCAGATGGGCATAGTTGCAGGAGACCAAAAGAATATCTGGTCCAAGCCTCTAGTCGAAGGGGTGGGAAGAGGGGAGCCCTGGGGCCAGTGACTCGTTAGACCACACCCCACAGGGGTGGGAGTGGGCGGCAGGCTGAGGTGTCCTGCCTCCCAGCCTAGGGCCGTGGCTCCTGCATCGCAGGTCTCAGATACACTGGGGCTTGGGTAATGAGAAGCATCCAGAAGGGAAGAGTAGAGGTGGGGTGGGAACCAGGCCTGGGGAGCTGTGTACAGATTAATTGCACAGCGGCTTGGGGAGTCCTGGGTTGGGAGAGGACATGAGGGCCTGGCCACAGGGGTGTCCTCGCAGAAAAGCATGAGTGAGACAGATATAAGGGTGGGCACCCTCCCAGGAAGGGGCAGGCCAGGGCTGGGTGAGGGGGGGTGTCTCACCCCCAAGTGATGCTCGGGAGAGGAAGAAAGGAGTTCTCTGTGGGGAAGGTGGGCAAGGATTCACGGAAAAGGTGGTATTTAAACCAGATCCTTGGTTCTCAAACCTGGCTGCACATCAGAATCACCAGGAGCTTTTAGAAAAATGTACCCCAGCTACAATCCAAACCCATTAAATCAGCACTGCGGTCCGTCAGGATGTTTAAAGGCTCCCCAGGAGATTCCAATGAGAAGCTAGGCTGAAACCCCTGAGCGAGGCTTAGGGACAAGCAGGCACTTGGTGGCAGGTGAGAACTGAGGGCTGGATGAGTGGGGAGAACATTCTAGGCTGAGGGAACCCCAGCAGGAAGAGGTGGGGGAGGGGAATGGGTACCTCCCTGTATGTGGAACCCTGAATTAGGGTGGGTGCAAGTGGGCTATAGAGAGCGTCTGGCTGAGGGTCCCAGGGGCCCTGTGAGTCATGGCTGACCACAGGTCACCCTCAAACCTGGACGTGGGTGAGGGACCCCAGGCCTGTGGAACAAGTTCACTCATCCACTGACCTACTCATTCATTCACTCACTTGTTCATTCACTCATTCATTCACTTACTCGTTCATTCACTCATTCATTCACTTACTCGTTCATTTCACTCACTCGTTCATTCACTCATTCACTCACTCCCTCATTCATTCACGCACTCATTCATTCATTCACCTATTCATTCATTCACTCGCGCATTCATTTACTCACTCATTCACTCATTCATTCAGGTGTTTAAGGTGCGAGCTGTTACGGTCCCGCCCACCGTACTCACCGTGCCCTTCCTCCCTCTATTGGGTCATCCCCCACCTGGAGCTCTGTCTCCCTTGCCCAAAAGGTCCTTGGAGCATCCTTGTCATTGCAGTTGAGCCAGGCCTCTTGGCTCCGTATTAAACCTGCTTGTGAAATCCAGGCAGCTGTTGATCTCCTTGCACTGTGCAACGCCTTAGAACCCCCAGGAGCACTTAAAGGTGCCGATGGCCAGGCCCTTCCCAGACCAACGTGATCAGCATTTGGTGGTGGAGTTTGTTGAAGGCACGTGTTAAAAGCCTTCAGATGATTCTAAACATATCCAAGTTTGAGGGCCATTGTTGTGGCCAGAGGACAGCATCCACTGGATGCTCATGCCATCTTGGACCAGAGAGCAGCCCCCAGGGTGCAGGTAAGCCAGGCTGGGAGCTCATTCCTAGCCAAGAGTCAAATGTGAACGACAAGGAGAATTGGCAGTTAGCATGGTGTTGCCAGGCTGTGCTGGGGTGACCTGAGAGGCCAGCCCTCCCCCTGTATCCCTTCCTTGCCCCTCCCCTGCCCCTTCTGTCCCTAAGCACATGCACCATGCACAGAACTCTGGCCAGAGGCTGGCTGATGTCCCTGAAGTGCACTTGAAAGTGGAAAAAGAAAATCTCTCCGCTTGTTCTAGTAACTGAGTTACGAACTCATCATTATGGTTTGCTGTAATTGAAAAATGTATTCCTATGTATTTTGTATATTTCCCCATACTCTTTTAAATTGAATACAGTGAGTGCGTTGGAATGAGGACACTGATCTGCTGGAGGTGAGGTGTGTCCATGCCACAGTGTGTGTGGCTGGGGTGGGGGGAGTGCTCCCAGGAAGTCACCTGCTTCCTCTTAAACCCTGTCCCTGGGACACCCCAAAGAGAACATGGGATGGTAATGCACAAAGTGGCCTTTGGGGTGGAAGCCAAGGGACAGAGAGATGCGGGGGTGGGGGGTGGGGTGGGACCAGAGCTCCGCAGTCAGCTGAAGAGGGTAGAAAAGCCAGGTGAGGCTGGCAGAATGAAAGCAAGCTTGCTGACTGCGTGGCTTAGTTCATCCTTGGTGTGTTTTAGATGTTTATTGGAACCGTTATTGAGGCGATCCGTGTAGTGGTTTTGTATCTCATCTCAAACTCCTGAATGCTAAATGGGACTCGAGACAACACCGAGTCCAGCTCTGTCATGTGACCCAGAGAGAGGTTGAGGCTAGAGATGGCAGTCACTGGCTCAGTCACACGGAGCGCTGGAGCCAGCTCTGGGACAGGACCCAGGTCTGCCATCCCAGCCGGGGGGGGGGGTGCCCTTTGTGTGGCGGTGCTCTTGTGCCCAGAGAGAAGGAGAAAGGAGTCCTGTGCGTGGGAACAGGGTCTCCACTCTTAAGAGTCGCCGGTCCCACACAGGTCACAGGCATGGGCTGCCTTGTTCTCTCTGCTCAGCCCGAGTGGCCAGCCTGCGTGGGGTGGGCCTGGCCAGCGACTCTTCTTTGCAGGACCGTGGGCTTCCGTCAGCCTGGAGGCTTTCCCTGCATTTAAGCGGAGCTGCTTGGGTGTGGTCCTACTAGGGGTGCCCCTTCTCCGGAGAAGATGAGAGAGGCCTGCGGTGGCTTTGGCGGGGGCAGGAGGGAGGAGATTTGGAGGGAAGATGAGGAAGCCTGCTCATTGCTATTCTGCCCCAGCCTCTGAGCCCTGTCCGGGGTGCAGAGTGCTTCACCCCAGCCCCCACCTCCACTCTCACCACCAGAGGAGAGGCCTGGAGGAGGGGGCCACCTCAGGGCTGGGCCCAGGCTCCCCAGCCCTGGAGCAAGATCGGCTTCTTGACCACACCTGCCAGCCACTCTGCCATGGAACAGGCACTCAGCATGGGAAGGGGTGGGGTCCGCGGGCTCCCTCACTTCTGACAAAGGGTTCCATTTCTGTCCAAACTGGTTTTCCTTTAGTCCCGTAGTTCTCAGACTCAAGCCTGTATCAGAACTTCCTGGAAGGCTGTTAAAACACAGAATTCTTGGACCCAGCCCCAGAGTTTCTGACTCAGTGGGTCTGAGTGGGGTGCATCTCAGGGGTACAGATGAACATCTGCATCTCTGGCAAGTTCCCTGTGGTATTCCTGGGCTGGGGACCCCGCTCTGAGGACCACTGACTTCCAGAGGAGAGGACTGCATCTTCATTCCTGCCCCACCGCCCCTCCCCCCCACCGCCAGCACTGAGCTCACAGCTGGTCCCCATTTTATGGATCGGAAATATTGGCTGGAAAGTAAATTTCAGTAAATAGAATCATATTTTTTTACCCTTGAATTGTGATGCTAAAATGAGGGGCTTGTTCTAACAATACCCGAGCATCCTCAAAGGGAGGACTGCATCTTTGAGTCCCTTTGGTGTCCCTGGTCTCATGGGTCTTGAACACTGTGTGGAACTGGACAAAATCATCACCATGACAACCTGCGATTAGCTCCTTATTTTGTTCCAGTCGAGTCTAATGGTCCTTGTGTTCTCTCTCTGTTCAGGGTGCCCAAGTGGTCTTTTCCCCTCCTGCTGTCGCAAGGCACTGGCGTCTCCTTGGCTGCTTTGTGTCTAATGTCTTAGTGTGAGCAGCACCCTCCCCCGTCCCCCAGAGTG